CTCTGATAGCTTAAGCATAAGCTCTCTGAGTCCTACTGGCAGGGCGGGAGAAGATCAGGGAGCAGGCCTGGTAGAAGGGGCACACGCCTTTTGGATGAGGCCCAGATTTGCAGACTCCTCAGAGATGGGCTAACATCTCACGGGAAGATGGTCTGAGATCCGACAGATCTGGGAAGAGCTTTCTGAATGAGGGGTGTAGGCTGACTGCTTCTCCAACCTTGCCACTCACGTCCATCTGTCTTAGCACAAACTCTTATGGTCTGGAGGCAGCGGGGGCACCTTGTTTTCTTCCTTTTCCAGAGGGGGCTGGAGGGACCACCTGCCATCCCCATCACTCCTCATTGCACCTTGGATGGCACAGTGCCGTAGCACAGCTGCACGGTAAAGGCTTTGAGATTTATTAATAATAGTCTGCATGGGCTTAATAATCTAGGAAAGTTTTGCACTTGCTTCCTCAGCCCCTGTTGAGTTCCTAGTTTGCAGGTTACTGCTTGCAGGAAAACACGTAGAGCATTTGGCTACCCCATCTTAACTTCTGTGTGTGTGTGGTGTTGGCCTTGTGCCCTGGTGTGCAGGGCTGCACTTTCCAGGGCACTGTGAGATAGGGGCTTGCAGTGTGGCAAAATTTATGGCTCTGACTTCGACAGAGTCCCACCGTGGAATAGAGGGCTGGTGAGAAGATGTCACCTGTTTAGGAGTGTCTAAGCTCTGAGCAGTGCTGGGCTGCCAAGCACTTGTGCTCACAGCAGTGTCTCACAAGTGACCAGTAGATGGTGCTCTGACAACAGGAAAATACAGGCTACTGTCCCTCTGGGGCTGGAAAAGGATTTTCAGATGGTCTTCATACTGGTTTCTCATCAGTTGTGACTAGTTGCTGATTTTCCACATTTCCACGTGTGGGTCTTTAAGAAGACAGTGGCACTGGGAGTCGAATGCCCAACGAATTCTCTTACGAAGAGCATTATGGCAACGATCTGATCATGAACTTTTTCTAAGGATCCTCCCGGATCTTGAGGGCAGTCCGTGTGTCCCCTGTTATGCACCTTCCCGGCAAGGTGCCAGAAGCATTTGGCCACTGACCGAATTCAATTTGAGGATGGTGAGCATAGCATTTCCATAGGCTTAGTGTCACTGTGCAGTTTCGTCTCTTGATGACGAACGATTTGGAATGACACTATTGCTGCCCTTCACAGCATGGGTTTTAGAAAGAACAATAAACTGGAAGTCACGTGCGTTAGGAGTCCACACTCTCCCCTTATCAGACGTGGGCATGTGGCTTCACGTTTCTGAAAGTCTGCTGCTTTGTCTGTCAAGTCAGGGTCATGATACACGTGTTGCCAGGCTGATCTCAGAGGTCTGGAGTGAGGATCAGCTGTGGGGCTTATGTAAACTGAAAACTATTAAAACACATATTATTCAACCATTAAAACTGTAGCTGTCTTGGGGGCTCGGGACACTCGAGAGCATGAAACCAATATAGAAATTCATAGATCTCAAAGCTATGACAGCCAGGTGGGGAGTGGAAGATGAAATTGTGTCTTTCTACTAGCATTGCTGCCCTTAGGCCAAGTCTTTCCCCAAAGCCATCTATGCCATTACGTTTGTCCCTACGTTTGTCCCTATCCTTTTGGGCTCTAACCTCCAAGAATCTGTCCCTTTTAACTCCCTGACATAGGTGCCCATACTCCCCAGTATATTCTCCATTATCCCCGACCTATGCATTTGTCATCCCCGTCTCCTCGGAAGGCAAGATGGCAGGTACCAACTCCAGTGGGTCCACATGTTTCCATGTGTAATACCCTGTCTTGAGAGCATTCTAGGTCTCTAAAGAATTATGGCAGCCACAGAGAACACAGGACGTGGCAGAGAGAGGAAAGGGAATTTGTACTGGATTTCTACTGAATGGATGACATCGAAGAGACAAGTCAGGGATCTCTGGTCTTCCAAGAAGCACTTCCAGGAGGTAAACGGCTAGTGAGCCCTGCTTACCCTGGGCACTTACAGGCAGGCATACCACTCCCCACTCTGCTAAGTGCGTGAAGGTGAGGTTTGTGAAGCAGTTTAGTGCGTGAGGTTATCCAATCTAATTTAATCTAAGAAGAGGATACATTATTTATCTCATCATTCATTTTGTTCATTATTATATCCTCCGTGCCTAAAACGATGCCTGGGACGTGGAAGGGACTCAGAAACATCTGTCAAAGGAATGATGTGAATGGATTTTGTGCTGTGGATTATGGCCCTGCCTGAAAGCAGAGGAATGTCCTTGATCATTTCTGAAAGCCCTTTCTAATCCTAGATAGTTCACAGGGTTACTGAGACAGCTGCTTGGGACTGGTTCTAAGTGACTGCCTGGCTGATGGGACTTCGTGGTTCCTGGCACCACCCTCCCTCTCACTTCTGACGAGGTATTCGGACAGAAGAGGACCCTCCAGTTAAGGCAGGAGGAAAGACAGAGGAAGGCAGTAATGTGAAATCGAAAAAACAATGAGAGCTGACTCACCTTGACTAGTAATTCGGCCTGAACTGGGCTCCCCTGGATCAAAAAGTCCAAGGGCGGCAGTACCTGCTGGAGGGGGAGAGTTGAAACCATTGCTTTGCGTTTCCAGTACCCAGAGAATTTTCCTTCACACACACACGTACACTCACATACATTCACACACAACAGACACGTGTCAGTACGCGCGTGGCCGTGCCCACACACAGACACATACACGTAGGAACACATGTGCCGTGCACTCAGATGCCACGTCTCAGCAGTTAATCTCACACACATAGACGCTGCCCTTCACACGCACGAAGCCACACTCACCCATGATCTCCAACTTCTGGGCTTCAGTCAGTCTTTTTGTCTCCTTCCCCAGCCTCTCCTTTTTCCCTTCCTTCCACTGCCCATGTGGGGAGGATCTGGGCAGGACTGTGTTGAGGCTAGGGCAGGGAAAGGCAGAGCAAGATGTGCCCCAGCCAGTGCGGACATGCGAGAGGACAGCTGGCCCTGTCCTCAGTCCAAACCACCAGTCGCCTATGTGGAAAGGCTTGGCTGCTGAACACAGGGGCTCTTTCCGTGGGGCTTGCAGTCCACCTTTCCCACCTCTGCAGCTCAGATACCAATTCTGGTTTTTTCTATTCATGGGATAGGTTTGAGAAAGTCAGTGGAGCTTCTTTGGGAGTAAAAGATGGGGGTCGGAGGACCCTTTTGATTGTCAGGATTTCGAGCAGGGCAGTTTCAGCCCGTAACTCACCATGTAGGGCCCTAGTATCTGGACTCCCTTCCGGGAGAGGAGGCGCACGCAGGGCTCTGCGAGAGCAGAACCCAGGAGGCCGCCCCACGAGGGCAGAAGCTCCCGCTGGAGCTGGCATCAACACTGAGTGTGGAGTCCCCAGAGTTCCTGCCTCCCCCACGGGGCCTCCAGGGTGCTAAGTGGGGAGATGAGGAGAGGGTGCTGCCTTCTTCGTGGAGATCCCAGCCCGTGTTCGTGGAGCCTGGGGGTGCGGAAGAGAGCGGCGATGCGGCTCACAGGGCGCAAAGGCCTGGACTCCTCAGGGCGGCGGTGGGCCGGGCCCTGCGCCAGGCACCGAGAGGGGCACGGCAGTCGGGACCCCTCTCTGCGGGGACCGAAGGCGCGAGTGCGTGCGCGCCCCACGCCAGGTCCCGCTGCCTTGCGGAGACTGCGCCGCGCCGCCAGCTGTGCCTGCCTCTCTCTCCCGGGCATTACTTGGGGGAAAGGCTGTTCTTCCTCGGTCCTTTGCGGAGGTGGCCGCTGCCCTTTGGCCAAAGACATCAATAAGGCAGACCAGCCTCACCTCCCAGGAACCTCCAGCCTTCCGGCTAGAGCCAGAGCCCGCCCCTCCCGCCTCGCCAGCCCCTCCCCCGCTCCTCCGGGCGCTCCCGCGCGCCCCGCTGCACCCCTGCGCTCCGCTCGGCGCCCTCCTCGCCTCCCCTCGCCAGCGCGTGCTCGCCGCGGCCCCGTGCGGCGGGGCTGTCGGGTGGGAGAGGAAGAGCGAGTGGTTAGTGAGGAAGTTCGGTCCCCGGACAAGTCCCGTGCCAGGCCCGCTAGGCTCGGCGGCAACCTGTTCCTCCCTCGCCCCGGCGCCCGCCCGCTCGCGCTCCCGCCCTCTCGCCGGCGCAGCCGCGGATCGCTGTTGCATGCTGATCCGGGGAGGCGGCGGCGGCGGCGGCGGCCAGCGCTCGGGGCGGATGCTGGCACTCGGGCTTCGCTGCTCTCTGGATGCTGCTCAACTTCTATCCCAGGCGCAGGAGCTTTGAAGTCATTTGTCCCCCTCCGGTTGGATCGACTTCTTATTTTGATATTTTGGGCGTTGCGGTTTACGCAGGAACCTTGATACCGCTCTCCCCCCTCCCTCTCTCCCGCTCTCTCCAACGTTTGGATGCGTCTGTGCTGGCGGATCTAAAGACCCAAGTCTTCGCTGTGGAATTTCTCAGATGGACTTGCCGGGGCTGGCGTTACAAAGCATGTCACCGTAATCCCGTCCTCGTCTTTTTTTAAAAAAAGTTCTTTTGTTTTCATCCCCCCTTCCTCCCCACCCCTCCCCCCAGCCAATAAATCACCAAACTGTTACCTAGCTGGCCGGTGCCTGCCTCTCGCCTGAGCGAGGTGGAGCGTCTGCCAGAAGAGGAGCTATGTTCGAAGAGCAGCCTGCTCCACCCCTCTGCTCTCGGGCCCCCGAACACCACACACTGGCATTTTGAAAAAACAATTGCCTCCAGAAACTGAGCACCCCAAGCCCTCCCCCACCCCGTTTTTCTGCTTCTTGAGGAATGGAGCTTCGCAGAGGTTGTATTTAGATTCAACAGTTCCGAGCGGCGCGGCTGCTGCTGCCGCCGCCTCTCCGAAGAGCTCGCGGAGCTCCCCAGAGGCGGTGGTCCCCGCGCCTGCCCGGATGCGGCTCTGAGCCTCCGTGTGTCTTTCTGCTTGTTGCTGTGTGCGGGTGTTCGGCCGCGATCACCTTTGTGTGTCTTCTGTCTGTTTAAACTTCAGGATGGCTCGCTTCGGGGAGGCGGTGGTCGCCAGGCCGGGGTCGGGCGATGGAGACTCGGACCAGAGCAGGAACCGGCAAGGAACCCCAGTGCCGGCCTCGGGGCCGGCGGCCGCCTACAAGCAGTCGAAAGCGCAGAGGGCGCGGACTATGGCTTTGTACAACCCCATTCCCGTCCGGCAGAACTGTTTCACCGTCAACAGATCCCTGTTCATCTTCGGAGAAGATAACATTGTCAGGAAATACGCCAAGAAGCTCATCGATTGGCCATATCCTTTCTTGCCCACCATAACTCCTCTCTTCCCCTTTGCATTTCCTCGGGTGGGGGGGGGCGCGGAGCACGGAGTGTATCCCCCACACCTTTCCTGGTGCCAATTTGCCCCTTTGCTGAAGTGCACTCTTTACTTCGGTGCATCTGAGGGGCAAGCTTGGTGCTGTGGAGACTGGTTTGGGCACTAGTATTTTTCAAGGTAAGACTTTTGGTTTTTTGATTTTTCCTATGTGGAAATCTCTAGTGTCCCTGGGTGCATCCCTTTCTGGGCTGGGCTTTGTCTGATTCCCAGCCCCCTCCCCACCCTTAGACCCTTCACAAGCTGCAACTACATAAATTGGGTTGCCTCTGACCTCAGGGCTTTCTTTAATAATCAGTTCCCCTTTTTTCCTCCCTTTAAGCCGGGTGCCTCTGCCCCCATCCCCACCAGCTGGAGAGACAACTGCACTGTCAAAGGAAGTCGAGGCTCCGTGAGGGGATTTATCAGTTCAGAAGCTCCAAGAGCACCGGGCCAAAACCCTGTATACTAACAGACAAATGAATAAATAAAACAGCCTTTGGGCTGGGGACCCAGCTAACTCTGGGGACTAAGTTTAAGTTCCACTGGAAGTGGAGTGAATGCATGTCTGTCAGGCGAGGTGATCTCTGTTGCCACAGCCCAAACTGCTCGAAGTTGGAGTTCTCTTCTAGCCAAGAAAGAGCAGCTCATCAGGGCCCATCCTCTCCTGGGTCCTGGCTTGGGTACTCTTGCTTCTGTGCTTGACCCAGCTGGTTGCTTGCAGCACCCAGGATCCAGGTGGATCTGCTGGGCCTGAATTTATCAGCTGAAGGCCAGAGGTGTGCAAGCAGTCTGTCTCACTCTAGCTCCAAAGGAACTGCTCTCCACAAATCGCTGGTGGGGGCCGTCTCTGATGGTGGTGGTGTCAGCATGGAAGGAGCTTCTTTGCAGGTTTAATCAAGTGCACCAAATGCAGGCTGCTGATTAGGCATATCCCTGCCTTGTTCTTCACTAAGGATTTGGATGCCTGGCAAGGCCATTAGGAATTGTGGGTGGTGGGGTGGTGAAGGGGATTAGTAGGGGATTAGTAGGAGGCAAGCTAGTGGTGTGGTGTTATATATGGGAGTGGGCTTGGAGACACAGGACTTTGATGCTTATGGAGGGAGATTTGGGAAGGATGCACCTTCAAAGGTGGCCCCTCCTCTTCTCCCTTGTCTTCCCTTCTCCCCACTCCTACCCTCCAGGTGTGCAGCAGTGCCCAGGGCCCGGGCATCTCCGTATTACCCCCAGCCCAGTTTCTGGCCTTCCCCTCCTTCTTCCCTAGTTCCCTGCTTCAGTAGCTCCGCGATTGGCTGGCGCGTGGTGCTTCTAGGCAGCACCCCTCATTAGAAACGAAGGAGCATCTCTAAGCAGATATTCTTCCTGCTGCTGTTCGCATCCTCCCACAAACCACTCCTGGCTGGGCTTCTCCCTCTCTCCTCCTCCCTGCGCTCCCCTCCCCTTGCTACCCCCACAGAGTGATCCGGGGCCATACAGTGCCTGGATTGAATGCTTCTAGGGTGGGGGTTTCGCGAGGGGGAGGGGTCCGGTCCCTGCAGTCATGCCTGCCGGGGCGCTGCACAAAGCGGACAGATCTCATTGTGTTGCGTGCTGCGGCTGCAAATACTCCTCTAGGCAGGTCTCTACAGATTTCCCAGCTGGGCTCTCCTCCCTCGCCCGTCTTCTACAGTTCTCTAAATTTCCCATCCACCAGGTGCTGCTTTGCTGTGTCCCTCTCTTAAGGGCATGTTTATTCAGACAGGCGCCCTCCCATTTCTCTGCGGTAGACAAAGCCGCCCCGCTGCCCCGTGGGTGGCAAAGTGTGCCTGCAGCCATGGTTGGCACCTCGGACAGCGCCACCGCCACCGAAACTGCCCGGCCGCCCTGGGCTCCCTAGTCACGCAGGTTCAGCACCTCGGATACTTCCGGCTGGGCCCAGGCTCCCCGGCTGGGAAATGAGGCGCGTTTCCTACACTACGGGGTCAGTCGCCTCTTTTCGCGTTTTCTCTTCCGCTGCAAAGACACCGCCTTTCCACCAGGCATTGCGAGCGCGCAAGGTGCGGCTGTGAGTTTTACTCCTCCCTTTCCCTGTCTTTGGCCAAAATGGACCAAAGAGAGTCAGAGGAGAGATGCTCCAGGGAATTGATTTCAGCAACATGCTCGGCGCCTTGGCCTTGAGCCCTGCCCCAATGTTCTCTTCTTTCCCCACAGTTGGAAATTTCACAGTGGTTCTCCAGCGTGTGGGCTACTGTAACAGTCTTCAGAGAACATCTGCTAAAGCGTTTAGTGGAGCCCAGTTGGAAAATTTAAAATATACCATGTTTGCATTTTTCTCTTGGCTGTACAACGTAATTGACTAATATATTCTCTCTGGTGGTGACCACGTGCAAACATTGGCTTTTCTCCAAAACTCATCTAAGTTCCTAGCCTCATCTTCCCTTCCTTTCTAAACATCCAGCTTCCGGAAACATCTAGCTTTTTCTTACTGGGTGGCAGTGTGAGTAGTGGTTACCCATAAAACTTTGGAGCTAGTCTGTCTGGGTTCAAATCCTAGTTCCTCCACCAGCTCTGTGACCTTGAAAAGTTACTTCATTACTCTGTGACTCGGTTTTCTTGTCTGTAAAATCAGGATGATAATAATGAGTTACTGGGAGACTTAAATGAGTAAATATATGTCAAGTGCCTAGAATTACCTAATTACTTGTATTAATGGAGTCTTTCAGAAATTTCAGCATACCTGAAGGGAGGGGGTCTTAGTTCAAGGTGAAGTCTTCTAGGTTCTTGCCTTGGCTAAGAGAGCAAGGAGCTGGGTCTGCCTCATGTGCGAGCCTGTTAAAAATTCAGAATCCTGGACCCCAGTTCAGATTTGCTGAATCAGCACCTGCATTTTAATAAGATCCTCAGGTGATTGGCATGCACATTAAAATTTGGGAAGTACTTCTCTGCTCTCTGTAAGGGCCAGATTAGGAAAAAAAGGAAGGTTGTTCAGAAAACCTGCCAAAAACCTGCTTTGTTACTGACATATGCACATTCAGCATGCTTGAGGATTTTGCTTGCTTGGGTGCTACAACACCTTTTGAGACTTATACTTTTACTGGCTGCAGAAAGTCACTGTAGACCTAGGAGGATGATGTGCCCATCTGTGTGCTGTGTTAGTGATCTCTTCATGCTGCATATTGCTGGTTTTTAATCATATCGGTCTGAAAAGATCAGTTAAGTAACAGGAATGGTTTAATTTATGCTTGTAGGACCCTCTGACTTGGGGGTGGGTGGGTAACCTTATGTAGTTATTAATAGGGGAGGTCTAGTTCTTATAGGAATAAATGCCTAAGATAACCCAGATTTGGCATGAAAGATGATAGCAAATCAACAGCCCACTCTGAATGTGTTTCATTTTTCTTGGAAGCTACATCTGCATAGGGAGATAATTTTATTTTCTTATGGCACTTTCTTCTGCAGTGGATACCATACCCTTTTTGAAAATGCTAATCTGATTTAAAATGTGATATTACATTCTACACGACTCCTTCTTTTCTTTTTCGCTCATCTAATAGATCTAACCAAAGGGTTCTCTTCTCAGGCAATTGGCTGTTCTGAATGCCCTCCAATGTTCACTGTGCTGCATGCCCAGGGCTAGGTACCCTGTGGACATACAGGGTCTCTCATGTGGTTTGCATGATGCCCACACTTGTTTGCACTTTTCCAGGTCAGAGAGTCAAGGGAAGAAATGCTACGTCTGACTTGGAGACTCTGTGCTATACATGGGCAGTTGGAGATTTCTCCCCCTATACACACACACACACACACACACACACACACACATATACACGCACACACACTTGGTCATCTCAGCAGGGGAACACATGTTTTGTGTGGAAATGAACATGCCTTAAAGTAGGCAGATAAAATGTGTTTGCAGCCACTGGGATGATAAAGCTCATTACCATGAACCTGTGGGTGTTTGTCTGTGATTTCTTGTTATAGAGAATTTCACTGTACCCCCAGAGCACCCTGGCCATGGACCAGAGATTATGTGCTTTATTATTGTGAATTTCCCATTGTAAATTGTCCATGTATTTTGGAGGATTTTGGAGAGTAATACTGAAAGTTCAGTTCCCAACTCTCCCATTTTGGCATATAGTTTTCTTTTGCTTTGGTTGCCTATAAATACACAGCACATTGCAGGATAGTAGACTGTAGTCCTGGTAAGAATTTCACATTTGATGGAACTCTAGTGAATCATGAGTCAGGATGCTTTAATCAGGGGAGAGGGTGGCAGCTAACAAGGAATAAGTCTGTAATTATATCCTATGATCAGATAATGCAGAAAGGCTTCACGTCTTCTGTGTACCTGTGCATGGATGCACCCAGTGAAACAGCAGCTGCTGTTGGCCCTGAGGCTGCAGGATAGAGGTTTTCATTTTCTGAGGATCCCAGGACAATCTCTGAATTGCCTGTTGGCTTTGTCCTTGCTATGAGGCGTGGGTAATGTTTCATCTGGAAACCAGGCCACGACTTGTTGTGGGGACCATTTGTAAGTGGGATGCAGCCTGGAAAGCTGCAGTGGAAAGTGGAGTGAAGGAGTTTGACAGAAATGAAATGACTTGAGGATAGAGACAAAAATATCTTAAATGTGATAGTTTTGTCTGTTGGTTTGCATATCATTATTTCCCCACTTCCCTCCACTTGCTTTTTCTGCAATAGGCGCAATGCACACTATGAATTAAAGGAGGAGGAGGAAAATAACGAGAAGTGGACTTCTTTTTTTCTTCTTTGGAAACATCCAGACTCTGGAATTATTAGCTCCATCCAAAATTGCTTATCTCTTTTTAGCTATTGCTGTACAAAATACGGGGTTTTTCCCCCCTCAAACTCTGCTGCTTTCCTCCTTCTTATGGGAACATCTGGTTTCTTTCAATCTTACATTCTCAGTTCAAATAAAACTGAGTCAAGCTTTGCTC